GCTGGCCTTGAACTCATAGAGATCTGCCTGCCTCTGCCTCCCGAGTGCTGGAACTAAAGGTACCAAGCCCTGCTACTCTTCATTTTTATTGCTTTGCTTTGTGATTTCTTCTTTTTGTTCTGTGTTTGAAATAAAAATTAAAAATTAAAAAAAAATTTCATAACATGTCCATCAATTTTTCCATAATATTTTCTTCTAGTAATTTTACAATGTCTGGATAATATATTCTATTTTTAATTAATTTTGAGATGATTTTCATATGTAACATGAAAGATCTAATTTTATTATTCAGAATAAAAATATCCAATTTTCCCAACATCATTTAGTGACTAGTAGGCTACCTCTAGAATTACTGGCCAACCTAAGGAAGACACTTGCCCACACTATACATTTGATAAGAAATTTATTTCCAGATATCTAAGGAACTCAAAAGCAAGAAAAATAAATAATATAATTCTAATAGAGGCAGGTAAATGATAATAGGTGCTGGAAGAGGTCCTTTTTGGTCTGGCTAGCCTAGAACTCATTAAGCAGACCAGGCAGGCCTCAAACTCATAGAGATTCACTTTCCTCTGCCTTCTGAGTACTGGGATTAAAGATATTATGATAACATCTGGCTTGACAGGATGTTTTAAAGGATGCACTTGCCCTTTGTAGATTGGAATGTAAATAACTGTAGTCATTTCCCAGAACAGTATGGGGGCCTTTCATAAAATTAAAGGTGGAAAAATAGCATATGATCTAGCAAATAACTTTTATGTAAATATTTCTGAAGGAAATGAAATTGGCCTGTTTAAAAACATCTATACTCCTAAGTTTATTGGAGCATGATGCATAGTAAACAAGAAATTTAAACAATGTAAAAGTTTATATTCTGATTAATGGATAAAGAAAATGTGATACATATATACCATGATATACTATACAGAAAAATACTGCAATCCATAGGTTGCAACAACGTGGATGGAACTGGAAGTCATTACATGAAATAAAGAAAGGCAAGAGTGGAAATCAAAATATTTCATGATCTTATTTACACATGCAACCTAAAAAATGCCCTCATAGAATCTGAGAGTAGAATAATGGTTAAAAAAAAGTCAGGAACAGGAGAGGAAGGAACAGACAGAAAATTTCATCAACAGATACTAAGCTATACTGTGATAGGAAAATATCAGAAATGGTGTGAAATTGCTTACCACCAAAAAATAATAATGTACGTTATGTCTCAAAAAGATGGAGGCAAGGGTTTTCAATATCGTGTTTTTCCAGAAAGGAAATCGCTAAGAAATGATAAATATTTTAACGATTCAAAGTTATACAATAGATCCATGTATTGTTACATCATATAGTACCCACACACATATGTAAAATTTAGGTTTTTGTGTAACAGATAAAATAAACATAATTTAAGTTTAAAAATATTAAAATGAGAAAATAATGTGAATAGGTGTTTCTCAAAAGAGCACACACAATTGGTCAATAAATACACAAAAATGTGATCAATACAAATACTCATCAGGAAAATGCCAATCAAAAATTCTACCAAATATTACATTATGTATTGGCAAAAGTGCAAATTGGTTCACCCATATAAACACTATTGGGGGTTTTCAAAACATTAAAAACAGAACTACCACATCATTCAAATCCAATTGCTGTTTATACATCAAAGAATTTGAAAGCATTATGTTAAAAGAATATCTGCACTTTCATGGTAATTTCTGTTGTGTCACAATAGCCAAGATTGTGCTGGATGGCTTTAGTGTCAACTTGACACACCTGGGTTGAGGGAGCCTCAATTGGGGAATTTCCTCTATTGGACTGGCCTGTGGCCATGTCTGAGGGGCATTTTCTTGATGAGCGATGTGGGAGGGCCCAGCCCTACGTTGGTGGTGCCACCCCTGGGCAGGTGGTCATGTGTGGGATAAGAAAGTAGGCTGAGCAGGGGCCAGGGGAGCAAGCCAGTAAGCAGTGTTCCTCCATAGTCTGTGCTCCAGCTCCTACCTCCAGGTTCCTGCCCTGAGTTCCTGCCTCCAGCACCCCGATGAACTGTGACCCAGGATATGTAAGTTAAATAAACCCTTTCCTCCCCAAATTGACATTGGACAGAGTGTTTTGTCACAGCAATGGAGAAACAGACTAGGACACTGATTGAATCAAAAGTTCCATCCCTAAATGAGTAAGTGGAGAAAGTGTGGTATAGATGAAGAATGCAAACACTGCACAGCTGCAAAAGGAATTGTTGTCAGTAATAGAATTTGGAAGAAGCTCGAGAATATTATGAGAAATGAATACCCCAACCAAAGACATGTCTGAAAAGCCAGCCACTTCCTGTTGAGATGTAACAAAGGCAGACTGCAAACTATAGACCTTATTCAAGAATTTTCAACAGAAAAAAGAACCTGAACTCAACTTCACAGACTAAAGGTCAGCTGAGGATTTATAACTAATGAACACAGATAGGGGGTCAGTTGATAAAATATTACTGTTTTTTTTCAATGTGGCGTTGTAAGAATTGGCTCTATAGCACTAAGATCAGTTCCTTAAAATGGCCGAGTGACATTATATTTTACAGCTCTTCATTAAATATGACACTATAGTCAAGTTCTTGATTAGATTATCTAGTTTTGAAACAAAATCTTGTTTCAAAGAGGACAATTCTTTTTGAATCTGTTGATTATATTGCCCTGAAAATAAAAATACTTATTCCAAATCCTGAAAGGATCAGAAATGTAGAAAAATGTTGATGTTTCTAAGAGTTGACTATCAGAATTGAAATATGCTGTACCAAATGATACAACCAGAAACTTAAAGAATATTTCACTTGCTGGGCATGGTGGCACACATCTTTAATCCCAGCACTTAGAAGGCAGAGGCAGGTGGGTCTCTGAGAGTTCCAGGCCAGGTTAGCTGGGGCTACAGACCCTATCTCAAAAAGAGTCCCCCCTAAAGAATATTTCACTTGAGAGCTCCCAAAAACGTTTCTTTTCATTAGCACGTGCTTCTCCAGAGCAGACTATATTTTGGGCCATAAAACATATCAGCAAACTGAAAGAAAATGGAATAACATCATGAGTCCTTTCTGACCACAACCAAATAAATTGAATAGAACTAAAAATCAGTAACCAAAGAAACTAGAAATTATATGCATACATGCTGCGGAATGAACCATGATTTGTTGAATAAATCCAAAAGGTAAACTAAGAAATTTGTTGAAACAAATGAGAATGAAAACACACCATGCTAAAAGCTGTGATGTATAACAAAAATATTGTCAAGAAACAACAAGTTCATAGTAATAAAGTTAGAAAGATTTCAGATATACAATAAAAACAAAAAAGGTGCTCACTTGGCATAAAACAGATGGAACTGGAGGATTGCGTTCAGTGAAATATGTCAGAGAAGAGATAGAAAAATGCATCAAGGTTCTTTTTCATATGTGGAGGCTGAAAACTTTTATCCAATGCATATATGCATACTCACAAGGTGAAAGTCATGGAAGGAGGGAGAGATGGAGGGACCGAAATCATCAGGGGGAAGCGAAGAGCATTAAGTTCTACAGCACAGAACTCAGAACTCACATAACACTATTAAGTGTAACTAGAGGAGAGGAATTCAAGGTCCCTGGTCAAAGCAATGATAAGGAGATAGAAGGGTTAGTGATCCTTACTTCATCAGCACCTATTGTATTTATGTATAAAAAGAGCACACTCTACCCCACAAAGATACACAATTATTGTGAACTAATCAAAATCTATTTTAAATGATTAAGGAAAAACTTCAAGACAAATCACAAAAAGAAAAAGTGTTAATAAGCAATGAGCAGTACTTGAGTCAGTTACAATAACTACAAATTTATAAAAATATACAAAATTCGTTTGCAAAGAGTCATGGTTGTTGCTAATATTACTGCTATTTCCTACATTCAAGGTTGAAAGCAGTGCTAAATTTCACTTAAATGTTAGTGAAAATAAATGAATTTTCCACTCCCAAATGCTTCATTCCTTTCACCAATGAACATTATACTACTTACGGTGAGTTTTAAATAGCTTAATAAAAATGAAAATCAAGTCATTTGTTTCTAGAAATAGGAAACCTAAAGTATCTGCATTATTCCAAACAAAAGTCATGGTTATCTTTCATGAGGTCATTCAGTCCTTAGTAATTAATTCCTGTTGTGTGTGATCTTGTGCTGTGAGCTTCATGGGACCATCTGCTTCCCCACTGTTAAGTTCTGAAAACCTCAGTTTTCAGTCCAATAGAATGGTTCTCATCAAAGCCGCAGCCACAGGGCTCCTGCCACAGAACTTCCATGAGCCTCTTTGATGATGTTTGTTGAGTATAAACATTCTGGTTTATAGTTGATTGCAAGAGCTTTTTGGGACCATCAGTACAAAACAGTAACAGCAAAACTACTATCGTGAATGCCAAAACCTTAAAATGGATATGACTGAAGGCTTGATGAGAGTTCATTATAAAAATATTGTAATCAACAAGTAAATTTGGGATTCTGTGTAGCATGCATCATTTTAAAAGAACAACTGATTTGAGGTCATCCCAGGCAGAAAATAAGACTCCATCCATATAAAATGAAAATAAATATAATAACTGAAATTATGACTAATATGTATTGTCTAACAGTAAAACAGAATCCATCATATCATGTAGTAGTAAAGACATTAATATGTACCTAAAACATCATATAATGTTGAAAGTATTTATTTTAATATTTGTTCCACAGATAGAGAAAGTGTTGATGTTTAGCTATCTCTTCAGCAACAGTTTACATGCAGTTAGGGATATGATATGAACCTTAAGTATTGTCTTTTACAAAGTTAAAGAACAGATGTTTTGAGATTTTCAAGTTGATTTGAGATCAAGATGCTACTGAGGATTTGAGTTTGTAAGGAAAATATGAAAAATTATCTCACATAGTAAAAGATACAAACACTTGGCTACATAAGATCAATCACTGAGAAGTAATGCATTGCTACGTCCAAGTGCTCGCTTCGGCTGCACATATACTAAAATTGGAATGATGCATAAAAGACTAGCAAGGCCTCTGGGATGATACGCAAATTCATGAAGCAGTCCATATTTAAAATAAAAATAAATAAATAAATAAATAAATAAATAAATAAATAGATAAATAATAGGTGTTTAAAGAAAATGTTAAAGAAAATAAGAATTAGGCAATAAAGCTTTCGCATCTTTTTTTAAAAATATTTTATTATTTTTATTTTATGTGTATGAGTGTATCGCCTGCATGTATGGGAGTACACTGGTATCTTATCATGCAATGCCGTGGAGGTCAGAAGAGGGCTTCAGGTTTCCTGGGAACTGGAGTTAAGGACAGTTTGTAGCCACCATGTAGGTGTTGGGAATTGAACCTGGGTTGTCTGCAAGAGCAGTCAGTGCTCTTAACCGCTGAGCCATCTCTCCAGTCCCAGCTTTCACTTCTTAAAATGCACAAGATTTGAGGTGGGTATAGTGGAGCATAATCCCAGAAGTCTGGCAGCTGAAACAGGAAAAACCTGAGTAAATCTGGGGCCAGACTGGGTTTATATAGTGAGATTCTGTCTATAAACTAGTAAAAACAAACAAACAAATAAAGCGGGATTTGGACATCTTAAGTACTCATGGATACTTTTTTTAAAAAATAATTTTAATGTCTCCTCATGCTAAAGTTTAATTCCCATCATTGTATTAAGAACCAGGCTAGTTAAATAACAAGGGCTCTGCCCTCAGGAATTGATGAATGTTATTTTGCACGTAGCCTAGTGTTTGTAAAGGTGGGCTTGTTCTAAGTTCATTACCACCTTGTCTTTTCTATCTCACTTCACAGGCCTGCTGCTGGCTTGTCCTTCCACTGGGTTAGGATACAGCATAAAGGTCCTCAACAAGAGCCAGCCAGCAGTGTGCCCCTGAACTTCTAGCCACCAGGATTACCAGCCCAGCACACTTCTATTATTTTCTATTAGTTATAAATTACACATTCTGTCACATTCTGCTACATCACATCAGTACAGAAAATGAACAAAGACAGATGTGATACCATCAGTGTAAAGCACAGGAAAGTAATATGATGTGACACAGAATCTTTCAGGTAGTATATTTAGAGTATGCATTAAAACTTTAAGTTATTGTTAAAGGCTGGTATAGTAATCCAAATCAATTTTGTCATTTGGGAAGAGAGAAAAAATAAACTGCAGTTCTGAGTCAGTATACTAGTCAAATGAAGGGTGATTTTATAAAGCTTTTACATAAAGCCATCCAAGCAGTCAGTCTTCACTAGTGTTGACTACATAATATAACGCTCATTTCCCAGACATTCTCGGTTTGTCCTTCACTTTCTTTCCCATTTTGTAACAACTATTTCTTTTGCCTTAGGAGGACAGTAAGTCCTCTTTCTTAAAAAAGAAACAGGCAAAACAAATTTTTCCCTTGTCTATCTTGCATAAAATTGAAAAGTGGTTTAAATCTTCATTAAAATCAAATTTGTACTTTTGATAAATTTAAGCACCTATTAGATATACTATAAGTTTACTTGGTCAGCAATTCCGAGTAGATAAAAACATACATATTTTTATGATAATAACTCAGAATACATAGCTGTTTTTATTAGATCAACAATATTAAATTAGAGTTATTGTCAGTTTTCTCTAATTGTATTAATGTGCTTTTTGTTTTTTTTTTTTCTTTTTTTAGTCTTTTGACACAGGGTCTCCCTGTAGCCCCAGCTGTCCTGGAACTCACTATGTAGACCGGGCTGGCCTTGAACTCACAGAGATCGGCCTGCCCCTGCCTCCCAAGTGCTGATATTAAAGGCCTGAGCCACCAGGCCAGGCTAATGTGAATTTTTAACAGTACTATGGTTTTATAAAAATATCTTTTTCCATATATTGTATTAAAATTTTAGTTCCCGTTGTAAAAATTCTTAGATTTTGTGAAGATTAAAATAATAAGTGAATAAAGCTCTTGTATTAGAGTGTGGAGAAGATCACATATTCATGCTTTTACCAAGAGACTAAATTAGTTTCCCAAGACAGGGTTAAATGTCCAAGAAGTGAGTTTGGTGTCAAAGGATCGGTTTTGATATTTTGACTTGGGGTCGTCAGAAGCTGGTCACCTCCATCTGCCTCTTTTGCCCAGGTTCTTCCTCTTTGCACACACATGATGTATCTTTCTCCTATGATATAACACAGCACAAAACCATCCTCAGAAGCTCAGCATATCCTGGGCTCATGCTCTTGAACATCCCCACTTCCAAATCATGAGTCAACATAAACCCTTTTTATTTCTAAAGAACCCATCCTCAGGTACTTTGTTGTAACACCACAAAGCAGGTTAAGATAGACCTTCTGTCTGTTATTTTAATTGTATAAAGAAGGCAAGATGTTTCCCATGAAGAATAATTTATATATACTACCAAGTGATTACAAAGCCCTACAGTTTAAATTTAAATTATATTTAAAGCAAAGTAATAAATGTACCCTTTACATGGTCAGAAAAATTCATGTAATTGAATGAATCTAACTGGCAGGTAGATCTCTGGATTATCATTCGTACTAATTCCTAATTTCAGCAGCAGTGTTCCTGAAGCAGAGACTGTATGAAGTATGGTATAACAGTTTGTGCATATGGCTAAAATGTGGACATGTGTTGATAAATATGAGAATCACACCCTCAGTACTTCACCACACGTGTCAGCATCAAAGGCTGAGTGCTGATGCAGGAAGTTTTCCTCCTTCTACGGTCCTCTAATGAATAGCTGGGGCACCTTCTCCAAGTGTCTACAATTCAGCCACTTCTATATTGGACTCTACTGAAAAATAAAATATGGAAATGGGGATTTTTCCAGTGAAAGATTCTAAAAACTGTCAGACTAGAGTTTTAATTCTTACTTTGCAGTTTCCACTAGTCAGTCCTAGTACAAATGAAGATTGACTATGAGCAAGGACCACACCACTCCTCTTAAACAAAGACTGCCCAGATTCAGACATAATTTCCTTCCTCCCATACAAAGTCAAAGTTTTCCTTGCTTATGGAGGTGATAAGGTCAGCTCAAGGGGGTCATGTTAGTTAGGACACGTTTTAACAACCACATGACTATTTAGAATGTAATGAAGGAGGTGATAACCATATGTGGGAATTCCTTTTCTATATAGGGTGAGTTTCTTTGTGTGCATCATATAATTTGCACCATGAGTATAGTCCATATAACCTTATGCAAAGTTCTGGCAAGTAATTACATGTAATTTCCAGTAATGCAATCTCTGCCATGTAGATCAGGGTTATGCAAATCAGGGTCATGACAATAAGGGCAGTCCCAGTCAAAGGGTCAGATCTCAAGGTGCCCTGTCACAACATTTTGATGCTAGCAATTTTATTTTCCCGGATCATGCTTGTGAAATTTTACTAATGGGAAGTTTTCCTAATGGCGTCATTTTCTGATCTCTTATTAAAGGCCTTCTCTCTACAAGAATTAGAGGGAACAAACAGAAGCTCAGCACATGTACACTTCAAACATGCATGCATTCAAAGAGTCTTTCCCAAAGAGGTAGCTTTTAATTCCAGTTTTTGCAGCATAGTCAGAAAAACAAAAAACAAAATAACACTAAAGTTTTAGATAAGTGAAAATGTTTGAAGTTTGAAGACAATGATTCTCACTACTTGTGTCAAATTAAGGTAAAGCAAAACAAACAAACACAAAACAAAACAAAAAAAGTAAATGGGGATAAATGATCACATTGGCAGCACAGATTCCCGATGGCTTTTTTCCCAGGCTCATAAGGCCTAAAATTGTCTCTGGAGTTGACCTTTGGTGGGGAGCAGACAGAGGGAGGCCTGAGAAGTTCTGAATCTGCTTCTTCTTAATGGCGTCTGTTTCAAAGAGATTCTTAGCCAAAGAAGAAATGGATTCTGGTCTCTCACAACCATAAACAAACATAGAAATTGCTAAAATTGTTTTAGAATATGTATTAAAGGCTTAAAAGTTGTCATTTGCTTTTTTTATTGTTTAACTAACTTCAGATTTTCTACTCAGAATCTCATGAAGCTTATGAAGTATCTTTGTTTTCCAAAATATTTAAACACTGTTTGTAGAATACACATTGGCATTTTATTAGGAATTTAATCACAAAGCATTTATTTAAAAAAAAGTCTCTCCCTGGGAACTTAATTTTAAATGCCTGTCCAATAAATCATAATAGAAATAACTCCTAACTTTTACAAAAGTTTTCTAATGCATTTGTTCCTTGTTTTGATTAGCTTTGTCTATTTTTAAATACAGAAGCATAGAACACAGTCATGTTGCTTCTAGGAGTGCGTTTATCACACAGGAAATAGAGTGGGCCAACGCACTAGGGCATGCACAAAGCTGTTCAGGAGGCTTGGGATTAAAAGCCGGAGCCTTCGGTTTATCACTGGCAATTAGTAGGCATTGTGAGTTGAGGGCACTCAGTTAATGTCTATTTGTTCTCAGGAAATTACAGCTCAGGAGGAACTCTGCTACTTTTGGTCTGCCAATCTGCCGGCTTTGTGTGCCCAGCCTTTCACCCACAATCAAGGGCTTCTGTTCTCTCCTCTCCTCTGGCTTCTTCTTTCCTTGCTTTTGACTATCAGATGTCCTTTGCTTTTGACCTGAAGCTTTTCAACAAAAATCCTGTACTTCCTTATGTCATTATACTCGTGTTGAAGAGGATTGCTTGGGTCTGTGCTAATGTAAATAGTTTCTTTTCCTTGGGTACAGACAAGTGTTCATCTTACTGCATCAGCATTATTATAAACATTTTAGCAAATTTCATCCCCATATAGTATCATAAAGAGTTTCAGAAATAACACTCTGAATACTATTCTTTTGATATTTCATCAAATATGAAAGCTTCATTCTGCTTTAGGCTTTTAATTTGTTCAAAACCAACCTGTAATCCCATATATTGTTATTTTTTCCTATGTCTTATCATTTTAAATTGCAAAGTGTTTGTTTTACAAATCCACTTTCAGCTAAGTCACAGCCCTTCTGAAGACAATGTTCTACAAAGAGGAGAGGGATGTGTAGGAGGTATTAGCACAAATCTTGTTATACATGAACAGAATTTTT